AATGATCTACAAATCAATATAAGACACAAACAACCGACTAGAAAATGTGTCAAGAGATCTAGACAGGTACTGCACAAAGTAAACGGAGTGAGCAATAAATATATATGAGAAGATGCTCAATCTCCTTAGTGAGGGAAATACAGATTAAACAAGAAGCTATTTTTCTTTCCTCAGACTGTCCAAAACAAAATGAAAAACACTGATGTCCTGTGTTACCTTGTCTCTTCCATTTATGCCATTGGTGGTAATGTAGATTGGAAATGTTTTTGGAAGGGCACTGAAGCAGCATCTATCCACATGAAAAGGTAACTCCCTTGGACTCAGCAATCCCACCTCTGAGAATCTACCCTCCCGATTATCTACCTGTGTGCACAAAGAAACATGTGCAAGAATGCACAGTTGATCGTGGTCCATCCCAACCACAAGAGCACGGTTGCTGTGCCTCTGTGTGCCCTGCCGTGCAAGTATCCTCAAGTCCTCAACTTACTCTGATCAGTGAAAAAAGCAAATTATGTAAACCATTTTTGTCTGATTCCATTTATGTAAAACTGAAAGAAAAAAAAACCCACAACTACACACATGTATAGTGGCATCTGTATGTAGGTAAATGTCTAGATAAAAGGCTAAAGGACATACACCAAAACTGGAAGGTTGGGGAGAGGCGGGACGATTTGTATCGGGGAGATTATTCATATTTCACTCTGTATGTACTTCTGTGCCACTTGACTCCTTCACAGCGCAGCAGGTGAATATGTTCCTTGTAGAGGGGGAAGTTTCAAAAAGTAAATTGCCCTCTAGTACACAGAATAGCATCCTCAACTGCTTGCGGCAAAGGAAGGAGCTGTTTTGAGAACTTAGAGCCACCTCTTCTTAGATCCCTTCCCCAGCTGTGAGCTCAGTCCAGGTTGGGGATCCCTCCCCACCCCGGGCTTTCTGAGGTGGGTATCTGTCCTTGTGGACATGAGCTGGGACTTTAAGTGGGGCACCAGACTCCCTGCATGGAACACCCCAGTCATTTCTATTATAGTAAAGGCCTCACTCTATGCCTCCCTCACCCACCCCCAACCCCAACCTCCCAAGCACTCCCACCCACCCTGCTGCACCTCAAGCCCAAGTCTGTTCTTCCTTAAGCAGTAGTGAGACAAGTTCTGATGATGCTATTTTCCAGTCCTTCTGAAATTTGACTCCAGGAGGAGCAGAATAAGGTCAACCACAGTGAAAAGCAAAACCAAGAGTGGGCAGGACACAGAGTATGGTGGTGAGTGTGGCCTTCATTTCCTCCAGGCAAGGAAACCTCGGGGGGCTGAGGTCAGGGCTTCCCAGCATTTTCACACTGAGGCTTATTGGGAAATGTCAAAAGTTGCCACCCACCCTTTGCTGGGCAGGGAAAGGGGACTCCTTCTCCAGGGATGGGTTAGGGGTTGTGGGAAGTCCTTGGTGTGAAACCAAGTTACTCTGGAGAGCGAGGAGAGATGGAACCGGTTCCTCCTCTGGAAAGTTACAGTGTTGGGAAATTAACACTTTTAATCTCATTTAGAAGTTAACCTTTAAGTATAGATTTGACGAGGTGAGAGGTGAGGCCATGTAGATGTCTGAGGAAGAGCATTCCACGTTCAGGGAACAGCACTGCCAAGGCCCCCGAGACAGGATTGTGTCTGGTGAGTTGGAAATATAGCAAGGAAGCCATGGTGGCTGGAGCTGAGTGAGTAGAGGGAAGAACAGAAGAGACAAGATTAGAAGAGAAGAGGAAAAAGGTATAAGATGAGCACTGCCTTGATAACTTAAAAAAAGCAAACAAACAACAACAAAAAAACTAGTTGGTGACTTATTAAATGCTTGTCAGGCCTTTGCCTTTTGTCCTAGAGGAGGTAGGGAGCCATTGGCAGTCTAAGAGCCAGGGAGCAGCATAATCTGGCTGATGTTCGACAGGATGGCTCTGGTTGCTGTGCTGAGAACAGACTAAAGGAGGAAGGGGAAAGCAGGGAGGCCAGAGAGATGACAAATGCAACAGACTAAAGGAGAGACAGTGTAGCCTAGTTTTTTTTTTTTTTCTTCTTTTTTAAAAAATATATTTTATTGATTTTTTACAGAGAGGAAGGGAGAGAGATGGAGAGTCAGAAACATCAGTGAGAAACATCGACCAGCTGCCTCCTGCACACCCCCTACTGGGGATGTGCCCTCAACCAATGTACATGCCCTTGACCGGAATTGAACCTGGGACCTTTCATCCACTGTGCCAAACCAGTTTTGGCAAGTAGCTGAGCTTTCCGTGACAGAGTGGCCAGCATCCCCTGGAGGGCCCATCATGCTCTTTGGACTACAAGGACTCCTTAGGACAAACGATAAAGTGTATATGCCCACTCTCTGTGTGTGACTAACAGAGGTTACTTCCCGTTAGTCCAGGGTGAGGCTTAGGAATTTGCATTTCCACAAGGTTCCAGGTGAGAATTCTGCTTGTCTGGCAACCACAATTTGAGAACCCACTCATTTTTCCTTCAGCGCACTGATGGTAGTGAGTGTGCAACAATCACTCTATCACGGCACATCCTCAAGAAAGCACCTTGCTCACCTCTGGGTCCCCGTGCCAAGCATGACGCCTGGCACGCATGTATTGAGCTTGGCTCTGAACCAGCTATGGTGCTCTATCCAATGACATTCTTGAGGATCCCTGGTTTGAATGGTCTGGCGGTTCCCGGTGATGAAACTTTCCACAAAGTGGTCATTAGTGGGGAGGGATTAATTATAATAGCAATAATAGTGGATGTGACCGAGTCCTGGTCCAGAGTCTGCCTAGATGTTTTATTCACATCTCCAATCAAATCTTGTAAAAGCCCCACGAGCCTGGCATCATCACCCTGATTTTGTGAATGATAAAAACCAAGGCCTGCAGAGTTTAATTTTCTCAAGGTCATACCATGAACAAGCTCCAGACCCCAGCCAGGCTGGACTGACTGCTCTGCTGTTTCTATCACAGACTGCCTCAAGGAGTCACTGATAACAGGAGATTGCCTTGCCCACAGGAACTTCCTTACTTGGGGACTGTGAGCCATATTAAAACAAAACAAAACAAACAAACAAACAAAAAACCTCAGGGAATATGCCCCCCCCTTTTTTTTTTTTTTTTTTTTTATGACTCCTGTCTGAATGGGGAGCCCTGTTCACATAGCACACTCCCAGGTCCCAAACTATTCTTGAGAGAACCCTGGTCCCCTAATAGATAGTGCCTTTTCCAACGTAAGTATTTTTTACTGATCTGTGTGGTTTAGATCAGACTCTGGTGGAACAGTTCCCTCAACCCTCACGCTCTGCCCAGCCTCCTCCTGCGGGATGTTGGGTGCAGTATTGTGCTGGGGGGGCTGAAGCTTGAATAAGTCCAGGCCAGCTAACCTCTAAAACAGAAGAAGAAAATCAAGTTCTAAGACTTCCGGCCTGGTCAGCCTCTCTCCTCCCGCAGCCTCCCCAGAGGATAAAAATAGCCGCCGCTGCCTCCTAGGGCCACACTGTGGTGCAGCAATTGCCCATGGAAGCTGCCTGGCCCACGAGCAGCTGCTCGGGCCAGCAGGAGGCTTGGGGGTCAGGACCTGGGACCTGCCCATAAAGGGCGAGGTGACCCCGGCCAGGCAGGGACGCTTAGAGGCCTTAAGGAGAGAGGGAGCACTGGAGCAAATGTGCTCGCATTCATCAGGAAGCCTGGAGATACTCTGTGGCTTCGCTGGCTGCCTCTGTAAAAGACCATGTATCCGTGATTCCTAACCTCCTTGGGGTACAGGGACCCACCTATAACAAATGTTGAGATGTACATACCACTTCTGTTTGTGTGCTCAAGCATACTAAGACATAGATGTTGTACACCTACGTAAGCGCACACTTTTGCACACAATGTTACATTCTTGAAAAAGGGGGTTGTCAAAGCCTGGCGTGCACCACAGGTTTACACCCCCAGATGCCTAGTTGGTAATAGGGATGCAGAACGACTATAAAAAAAAATTAAAATTTGGCCCTAACTGGTTTGGCACAGTGGATAGAGAGCATCGGCCTGAGGACTCAAGGGTCCCAGGTTCGATTCTGGTCAAGGGCATGTACCTTGGTTGTCGGCACATCCCCAGCAGGGAGTGTGCAGGAGGCAGCTGATGGATGATGTTTCTCTCTCATCGATGCTTCTAACTCTCTATTCCTCTTCCTTCCTCTCTGTAAAAAACAAACAAACAAAAAAAAAACAACTCAATAAAATATATATTTTAAAAAAATAAAAATTTGTAACATTTAACAATAGGCGACTGAAATTTCCCAAGCTCTTTTCTGGAGAATACATTTATAGAGTATACATGCATGACAACCAACACAGAAATGTGAACGTGGACCTCTGATGGTGGGATACAAAGTGATTTACATTTTTCTCCATTTTCTCCCTAAACAAAACAAAACAAAAATATAACTTTTTCTTTTGCAACCAGAGCTGGCCGCATCCAGGCATTTATTTCCTTGGATCTGGGGAGCCCCCTTGGGCTGCAGGCGCGGCCCCGGCCGGCCTGGCCGCACTCCCCGCCCCGCGGCGAGGGTGCTGCAGACAATAGACAAGCAGACCTCAGGCCGGTGACAACGCGGGGCGGGCTCCTTTGGAGGGTGACCCGAGAGCCCTTCGCTGGCGGCTGCGCTTTAAAAATCAAAACGCCGCTCCCGGCCCGGCCCAGCCTGGCCCGCACGGGGCGGACGATGCCTGCGCGCGCGCTCCCGGGCGGCGGCGGCGACGCGCACGGGCGCGCCCCCGCGGCCAGCCCCCGGCCGTGGACGATGCCGCCGCGGAGGAGGCGGCGGCGGCGGCGCGCTCCGGCGGCGGTCTGAAGCGGCGGCCGGCTGCCACGGGCCGGCGGCGCGATGAGCGGGGCGGCCGCCCCCGGCTCGGGGCTGTGAGGGGCTCGGGGCCGGGGGTGGGCGGCGGCGGCGGCGGCGGCGCGGCGGGCGGCCGGCGCTCTCTCCTGGCGGCGGCGGCGGCGGTGGCCATGCGCGGGACGGCGCGGCCGGGGCCGCCGTGCCGGGGCCGCCTCCTGGGGGCCCGCGGCCTGAGGGTCCCGCCGCCGCCGCTGCTGCTCCTGCTGGCGCTGCTGCCGCTGCAGCCCGCGGCCCCCGGCGCTGCCGCCGCCGCCCCGGCCCCGCGGCCCCCGGCGCTGCTGCTGCCCGCGGCCGCGGGGCCCAGCGTGAGCCTCTACCTGAGCGAGGACGAGGTGCGCCGGCTCATCGGTGAGTGGGGCCGCCGGCGCCGGGGCGGGCAGGTCGGGCCGGGCCGGGCCCGGGCTGCTTCCGGCCGGCCGTCCGGCGGCCCAGTCCGCGCGCCGTGGACCGTGGGCCGGTCCCTGTCTGGCCCCCTGGTGCTCCCGATCCCGCCCCCGCGCCCGGGGTCGCCTCCGGGGCCCGGCCTCTGCCTGCCTTGCTGGCTGGGAGGTGTGGTCCCTGCCTCGCCCCTGCGCCCGGGGTCAGCCTGCTGGCTGCTCCCCTGCGCCCTGGATGCTCCCCCTGCGCCCTGGATGCTCCCCCTGGCTTCTCCCTTGCGCCCTGGCTGCTCCGCCTCTGAAGGACCTCGGGATACCTTGGCCGCCCCGACATACCCGGGTTGCACCCCCTTCCCTCCCCCACATAGCCTCTTCAGCCCTTCACCCCATTCCCTGGAGTCAAGCACCCTTCCAACATGTCTTCCCCGCCGCACCGTTTCTTGGACCCTTTCTATGTGTGTCACTCTGTGTAGGGCCCTGGATTTTGGATCTTTCGAAATCCACCTTTTTAGGTAGACGAACCCTGGAAACCCTTGCGGGTGGTTTGGATGCCCCAGTAGAGGCCACACTGCTGAGCTCATGTTTTCTGGTTATCACACTTAAAAAAATATGAGAGAGAGAGAGAGAGGTTATAGTGGGTATTTATTACATGTTCACGGCAGTCTCCAAATCTTGCGACTGAGAGGCATACTTTTAAATAGTGAACAAGTCTCCAGGTGGCCTGCACCTTTGAGCTTCTTAGCTGGGATATGCCAGAGTTTGATGGATCCTTATTTCTGGGCCATTGTCCTACTTTGAAGGGAAAGGAGAACTTGGCTTTGGGTCAGTTGGTTCTATTCTGCTTAATTAGCTTTGTCGTTTGGGAAATAATAATAAAAAAAAATAATGGTGTTCTCATGTTGGACTTTATGGGTTTTGGAAATGAACCCCCTGAAGAAGGTCTGATAGAAATGGCCCCCAATGGGAAGTTTTTGATAGTTTTAGATACTTAGACATGTACTTTCTTTTGAGTGTTGTTTCATCTCAGGCTTGTGGTGCATCAGAGGGATCGATTATCGGTTAGTTTCATTTTTTTTTTTTAAAAGTTGTAAGACCTTGAGGTCTTTTAAGGAATTGCATATAGCAGGCTGTTTAGATATTGTTACATATAAGGGTTTGCAGTCTTTAACCAAAGAAGAATGCTGTGTTTTTATAATGTCTTGCATTCTTAATACCTCTCTCTAGTCTAGATGAATCAACTGAACTTAGTTTAGCTGAATTAAAATTGCAAATTGGGTTAGTACATGGAACATAAAACTAAGGTTTAGGAAAAAGTATGAATACTTATATATCTGCTCATATAATTAATTTTTTAGAAATGTTAATGTACTGTGCATGGTGTTGTAAAGTTTTTGTTGTTGTTGTTAAAAGCATGTGTATTATTTGTGACTTTGTTGAAATGTCAGAAAGCAGTCTGGGTGGGGGTAGAGGATGGGAGGACAGCCAGAGGCTGACATTGACTGAGTGCCTGTGCCATATACCTGCCCCTACTTGTTTTATATCCATCATTTCCTCTACTTTTCTTGTGTCCCAGGGAGATAGGTATTCCTATTCCCATTTTAGAGATGAGTAAAGTAAGGCTTTAAGTAACTTGCTCAGAATCACACCATTTATCTTTTTTAAAAAAATCAAATATAGGGTTTCTATAAGCTGCAAAGTCTTATTGAATGAAATGAAGACATTGTTTATTCTATAGCAGCTTGATTATGGCATGGCGGAAAAATAATGATTGCTAATTAATACTTGAAATGATGTATTTGTTACCCAGTTGATGAGCAGAATAGGTTATGGGAGCAAAGAGGGTTTGCCTTGCTGATGAGCCTCATTCCCCTTTGGGCCAGAGAAATCTCCAGCAGAATTTTCTCTAATGCAGACAGAGTTGACCTGTTACAGTGGGTCTCTTGACGGCACACCTTGCCGGATCCAGGCCCTTGCCTTCCAGTCCCCTTCCCATGTCCCTTATACATTCTACCTTTAAAGCATTCCTTGGATGCACCTGGGAGCAGAAGAGCAAGTTGGTAGGACTGGGGTGTATACCGGGCATCCTGAGTTCTTAGAATGCAGTTTCCCACGGAAAATCTTGCGGTATTTACGACTACTTGCAATAATATTTTGTACCGTATTTTTGTATCCTTATGGGTTAAATGCCTGCAGAAAGCTGACTTGGGAAGCTAACCGTCATTGTATAATATTTCTAAGACAATGAGTTTGGAATTCTGAGTAGGAAACTTGTAAACGAAGTTGATAGTGACAGCGTTATAAGTTGAACTAATTGCTTGGATATGAGACTAAGTTGTTGTTTTAGTCAGTTACTACATGCCCATAATTTATAAAGTAATCAAATAGCGCTAAAAAGTTCAAAGTGAAAAACAGCTATCTCCTTCCGACCTTTGGCCTTTTACTCCTCCAGGCTCTACTCCAGTGGAAGCTACTATCCTATCTAATAAAAGGGTAACATGCAAATCAACCGTCACTCCACCACAAAGATGGTCGTGCCCAGTCCTCTCAGCCCCACCAGAGTCCCCCCAGCCCCGGGGGCGAGGGGTGGCCGCTGAGAGTGGGCAGCGGGGACAGCCTGGCGGAATGCTTGCTTTCTTGCTGCGGTGATGAGGCAAGCGTTCCACCCCGGCCGCAGATGGGCCTCTGAGCTGCAGAGAGCCTCTAGGCAGTGGGCGTGGAGCAGCCAGGCCCTGCAGAGAGCTACTGGTGCAGGGATTCCTGCGCAGGGCTACTCCTCTTAAACTAGTTCTGCTTATTCCCTGCCCCGGTGTTTTTTACTTTCCTATTTCTAAATCAGTGTATAATAAGCATTTGACCTTCCAGTATCATAACTGAGTACTTGCCCTCTTCTCTTCCCTTATCCCCCCAATATAGTTAGATATCAACTAGAGGCCCAGTGCATGAAATTCATGCACAGGGGGTGGGGTCCCCTCAGCCCAGCCTGCACCCTTTCCAATCTGGGACCTCTCTCACAATCCTGGACTGCTGGCTCCTAATTGCTCACCTGCCTGCCTGCCTGGTTGCCCCCAACCGACCTCCCCCATCTGCCCCCTCCACTGACCTGATTGCCCCTCACTGCCTCTGCATGCTGACCTGATTGCCCCTAACTGCCCTTCGCTGCCTCTGTGCCCTGGCCTGGTCACCCCCAACTGCCCCCCTTTGCTTGCCTAGTCGCCCTAACTGCCTCCCCCCAACCCCCCCACTGGCCTGGTTGCCCCCAACTGCCCCCCCTGCTGGTCTGGTTGCCCCTCACGGCCCCCCCAGCCAACCTGGTTGCCCCATGTAGCCTGCTGATCAGTCATTTGGTCATCCCTAACTAACCCCCCTACTGGCCTGGTTGTTGGCAGCCATCTTGTGAGAATGTGAGGGTTAATTTGCGTATTATCTCTTTATTATATACGATTTTTTGTAAAACTAGCAGTCAGTATTTACATTATTGTGTATATATTTATTACTTATATATGAGTTAAATAGTGACCCATGATTATATTTTTTCCCCTATATATTTTGGTCTTTCCTGGAGCAAGTGATTAATTGCCTTTTAATTTAAAAATATTTTTTATTCATTTCAGAGAGGGAGAGAGAGATAGAAACATCAATGACGAGAGAGGATTATGGATCAGCTGCCTCCTGCATGCCCCTTAATGGAGATCGAGCCTGCAACTAGGACATGTGCCCTTAACCCAGAATTGAATCTGGGACTCTTCAGTCTTCAGGCCAACACTATCCCCTGAGCCAAACCGGCTAGGGCAATTAATTGCCTTTTAATTTATTTTTATTTTTATTTTTATTTAAGTACCTATGGCTACATGCCTTCAAATATTCCAAGAAATATGTTAAGTGCCTTTTGATTTTCCCCCAGGTAGCATGTCAGATCATTTATCAATTCCACTTGGTTTCCACTCACAGACTTGTCCTCCAGAGCCTCCCATCCTCTCGTTCCAATCTGGACAGTAGGATGGTTTTTCCTGTGACTTCTATTCCTTTTCTCTCTTGGAGCCTGTTTCCTAGGTCTCCTGTCTTCTTTTCTCTTGGTTTGCTTTGTCTTGTTAAAGTGCACCCGCTGTAGAAGGGGTGCCTGGGAGGTAAATTATTTGTGGCCTTGCGTGTCTGAAGCTGTCTGTCCGTCTTCATGCTTCATAAGTAACTTGGCTGAATTTAGTGTATCAGGTTGGAAATAATTACCCCCCTTCCCCCCACTCACACACCCAACACACACACAATTTTGGTGGCATTTTCACACTGTTTTTTGACCTTAAGAAATTTTCTGATGAAAATCCAAAGCAATAGATTCCTTTTCTTTTTCTTTGTTTATTATGTCTTTAAATCTTTTTCTCGGGGGTTCTGAAATTTATAAGCTTCTGTGTGGGTCCTTCTTTCTGTCTGTCTCTCTGGGCCCATTCAGTCTAGAGACTCATATCCTTCAGTTTTCAAAAACGTTGATTACTTCTTTGGTAATTTCCTACCCTCCACTTTTTGTTTTTTCTTTCTGAGATGTCTATTGGTTTGGTTATTGAATCTTCTGGAAATGATGTTCAGATTTTCTTAATTTTGTTTCCCAAGTTTTTATTTTTAAAAATTTAATGATGGCCCTAGTTGGTTTGGCTCAGTGGATAGAGCATTGACCTGTGGATAGAAGGGTCCCAGGTTAGATTCTAGTCAAGGGCACAGCCCTTGGTTACAGTCTCTATCCCCAGCCCTGGCCAGTGCATGTGCAGGAGGCAACCAATTGATGTTTCTCTCTCACATTGATATTTCTCTCTCTTTGTCTCTCCTCTTCCCTTCCACTCTCTCTAAAAATCAATGAAAAAATATCTTCAGGTGAGAATTAACAAAATAAAATAAAATTTTAATGATGTTTTTAAATTTTATAAGCTCTTTTTGTTCTCTGTGTCCATTTCCATTTTATTCTTATTTCATAAATGTACTAGA